TGGGCGAAGCCCCCGCGCCTGCCGAGCCGGCAGCTAAATTTACCCCGACTGACTCAGCCCTTGCCCGGAAGGGGGGGCGGGGGCAGCGCGCCGGGGCAGTGGGAAGAGCCGGGGGGGGGGGCGGGCCGGGGGCAGCGAGGAAGGGAGAGTCCCGGGTGGGGGGGCCGGGAGGAGAGGAGTGCCCCTCCGTCTTCACGCCGAGCGGGGAGGAGCGGAGGAGCCAGCCCTGGGAGGTGGGTGGGAGCACGTTGGTGGGGAAAGGGTGGGGGAAAAAGACGCTGAGGCCGGATGGAGGGAAGCTTAGATTTATTGAGCGCCTACTGTGTGCCAGGCACTGTGCAAGGCGCTTTACATACATTATCGCATTAAATCCTCACAACAACCCTGCGAGGTAGGTGTTTATAAACCCCCATTTGACAGATGAGGAAACTGAGGCTCAGGGAGGTGAAGTGATTCTGCCAAGTTCACGTGGCTAGTAAGTGGCAGAGAGACAGAGGAGGTGTCCGGGATCGGAGAGAAAAAAAGACTTCAGTGTCTTGAGTCCCAAGCCGGTTGGGTGGCTGAGTACAAAGAGGTGCTCGGCGCGCTCCAGAGGTCTGGGAGGCCGGAGGCCTGCTCCCGGCCCCGCGCGGCTGGAGGCGGCAAGGCGGGGGACAGGCGCGCGGTAACTAGGGATCGGATTAACTGGCAGTGCCGGGAGAGCCGGGACCAGACACTGGGGAAATCCGCGACCTGCGCGCGCCCCGTAGTGGCTACAGAGAGGATCGCACCCCACACCCACAGGCTCTTGGGACCAGCCTCTTTCCTTGCCTGGCCGGTTCTGGAAGAGGCAGAGATGGAAGAAATTCTCAGGGTTCCTTCAGGTGGGCGATACCACCTCGGAGGGAAATCGTGGTAACGCATCAGAGCATCATTAAGGAACCTTGGGGTGGGGGAAAAAGGGAAGGCCTAAAAAGGTCCCAGGCTCATTCATTGGTGGCCTTCCCTCCCCGGCTCAGACCACTACAGGGCAGGGTCAGTGACAGGGCCACTAGCCTGCCCTGCCTTGGGGAGCCCTGACGCAAACCTGGGAGACTGGGAAAGGAGTCCCTTGTTCACTTACGCAGCTCTTCTGCAAACCCGGGACCGTCTCCTGAATGGATCATGATTGCAGGTGACAAGGAGGTCACCCAGGGACCCTCGGACTCTGTTCACTTATTCCTAGCTCTCATTCTTGGCTTGTCAAGGGGAGGACGAGATAGAAGCCTCCCTAAAGATCCCAAAATGTCAGGATGGCCCTTAGAACTCCATCACGGCTGGCCTCGGTGGCTCAGCCTGTAATCCCAGCGCTCTGGGAGGCCGAGGTGAGTGGATTGCCTGAGCCCGCGGATTCGAGACCCACCCAGGCA